ACTGAAGACATGATCAGCTGCAACAAAATTAAGACAGAACTGGGTTTAAAAATCACCAGGCAACGTGTGTGCCAAATTTTGACCGAAAATTTGAACCTCAAATATCAAAACAAAGTTGGCAAACCTCGCTTAGGTAAACAGCATAAAGATGCGCGCATGACCTTTTATGAAAAACACAAGTTCTGGGACCTCGAATTCGAAAATATAATTTTTAGTGACGAAAAAAATTTAATTTAGACGGTCCAGACGGCCATCGTAAGTATTTTAGAGATCCGCGTCATCCACGGGAAACTTGCTACAAGCAGAACCATGGCGGTGGATCACTTATGGTATGGGCTGCATTTAGTGCCTAAGGAAAGTCCCCAATTTGTTTTGTATCCGGCCGAATGAATGCTCAAGCTTACAGTCAGTCACAAAAGTATTCGTCTCTAGGTATCCTCTATATTCCAGCTCGTTTTTGGTGGTTATTTTACAACGAATTTAATCGTTTTTTCATAGGATGGGCTAAATTTAGTATTTATCTAACATAATTGAACATAATTTTATTTAAATCTTAACCATTAAATTTTTTTTTCATATAAAAACAAAAAAATCAACCAAATTTCATATCACAAAAGTATTCGTCTCTTCAGAAAAATACGTTATTTTTTAGTATTTTTTTTAGGGGCAATCGCATTTTTTTCGGCGCTTGGGATTAATTAGGACATGGCGAATCCATTTCGGGGAAACCCCCATTTACATTCGTGCCCAAAAATTGATCTGCCTTATTAAAAATGCCAAAAGGGTCAGAATTGAACAATTCGCAAAAAAAAACGAGGGGGAACGTTGTGAGTTGCTGCGGACACCGCAACTCTACGGTTATACCCGATACTAAGTCAGTATGGCTCTCCTCCGGCAGACGCCGCTAATATTTAACGACACGACAAAGAGTGCGTGCGAGAGAGACAGAAAATCAGTCTGAGCGTGACGTCGGGCGCTGCGTAGCCACTGCAAATTGATTTGTTCCTTTTGGCTATAAAAATGATCTGATCTGATCTGATCCAGATTCAGCAATCTAATAGATATGGTCATTATCTATGATTCTGCGTTTTTAGTTTTCTCAAATCTGCAATATTGTGGATGCAACAGATTTTCGTCCTTTGTGGGGGCGGAAGGGGGTGGGGCGAAATTCTGAGATATACGTTTTATAGTGACATCTTAAAGGAGTGTGTGCACCAAATTTGGTTACTCTAGCCTTAATAGTCTCTGAGATTTGTGGTTGCCTCAGATTTTCGTCCTTTGCGGGGGCGGAAGGGGGTGTGGCGAAATTTGGACAGGAAACGGTCAAGGTCCGATATCACAGGAGTGTGGATACCAAATTTGGTTGCTCTGGCTTTTATAGGTTCTGAGATCCTTGAACTCATATTTTGCAATTGGCAAAACCGACCATGAAACCTGTGTGTTAGAGTGAGACAGAGCGAGAAAGAGTGAAATTGTTTTCGTGATTCTGGCTGTAATAATTATACGATCTGGTTCAGATTTGGCACTCTAGAAGATATAGTCATCTTCTACGATTCTGCGTTTTTAGTTTTCTCGTATCGTCGAAATTGTGGATGCCACAGATTTTCGCCCTTTGTGGGGGCGGAAGTGGGCGGGGCAAAGTTTTGAAATATTTTTGGAGCAGTGACATATCACAGAAGTCTGGATCCAAAACATCGTTGCTCTAGCTCTTATAGTCTTTGAGCATTAGGCGCTGAAGGGGACGGACAGACGGACGGACGGACAGACAGACAGGGCTCAATCGACTCGGCTATTGATGCTGATCAAGAATATATATACTTTATAGGGTCGGAAACGATTCCTTCTGGACGTTACACACATCCACTTTTACCACAAATCTAATATACCCCAATACTCATTTTGAGTATCGGGTATAAAAATTATCTGGCACCTACACAATGAGGGCTAATCTAATAAATATATTAGTGAGTTGTTCGAACAAAGTGTTTCGACAATTAAAAGTGCAATTTCTCGACTAAAAGAATAGAATTGGTAGATAGTGAGCTAATTCCATTTACTGAGCATTTCCATGGGGATCAATGAACTTTTCAACAGGACAATTCGCCAATTCACGTTGCCCGTACTACAATAGGCTATTTTGAGACCCACAAGATACCATTGATGAGTCTATGCCTGTACAAAGCAGTACGATACATTGAAGCAACTAAAACAAACAGAATGGAACAGGATGGAAATAACAACACTACAAAACTTGGCAAATTCAATGCCCAGTAGGCTAAAAAAGCTTCAGGAGCAAAAGTTTAGCTCCATTAATTATTAAAAGAGTTCATATTTCCATTAACTTGTTCCTTGGAAATTTGTTTCATAAAAAATATTTTTGCTGTTATACCCATTTTTTATGTAAAAAATGTAAAATAATTTATTTTTTATTTATTAAAAAAATTAATATTGAATTTGTCTATGCCTTTTTGTTTTTACTTATTAACAGCTAACTAAATAAAAATATAAAATAAATGAAGAAAATACGTGTTGAAAAAAAAACGTCATTCAAAGCAGTGCACATACATATAGCCATTTTACTAAGGAACATGCTGTTAGTTTGTCAAACATGTTAAATACACAATGTTACATCGAAGATGACTTGATCTTAAATCGCGCAATTACTGCCGCCGTTTTGCTTCAAACAAAGCAAGTCAAAAAATTAAAGTAATTTTTGTTTTGCCAGAAACGATGATAAAATTAAACAAATCGATGACAAAAATTTGTGAAAACGGGAGCACCTAAAAACGGAACGTTTTGGCTGACAGAAGTAAGTGAAATAGCTTGTGTGATTGTTGTATGGATTTCTGGAATTGGCGATGTCCTTAGCGACGTTTATTCAATGTGTCCACATCCGTAATAAAATATAAAAAACAAGAAACTAATTTATTTTGACATTTCATGAGCTGTAAAATTTAAAATATTGGACAAATATGGCATTATAATATTATCACTTTTTCATTTCAGGGCTTAATATTTCTCAAACGGTAAGCTAAAACTACGACGTTTTGAGAGACGATTGATACAGTCAGCACAACATTTATTCGGACACTCGTCTATGTCAACTTTCTTTATAAATAACTTGAAAAGTATTTAAGTTTGACAACAAATTTTTATTTCATTATGAACATGGATATTACTACTACTAATTTTAAATCTAAAAACAAAAAAAAAATTCTTTGGCGTATAAAAAAAAATTAAAAGTATCAAAAAAGCCACTTTTTTACGCACAACAATTATTCGGACACTTTTTATTTTGTACGAAAAAAACTTATTGTCCCCAATTTTTTCTGATTTCAATATTTGGTGGGGCCGCCCTTAGCTTCAATAACAGCTTTTAGACGTCGGGGCATACTTTTTACCAAATGATTGGTTTCATTTGGATCAATTTTCTCCAATTTCTCCACCCCCAAACCATTACATTTCCACCGCCATGCTTCACTTCATTTCCGATGTGAACAAAAAAAAAAGATTGGAGTTCGCAAAACTTCACTTAAATAAGCCAGATTCTTTTTGGGAGAATGTTATATTTAGTTAGGAGTCTAAATATAATATATTCGGACATGATGGACCATCCAAAGTATGGAGAAAGGATAATCAAGCCATGAAAGAGAAAGACCTCATCCCAACAGTGAAGCATGGCGGTGGAAATGTAATGGTTTGGGGGTGTATAGCAGCAGCTGGACCTGGGCAAATGGTGTTTATTGAGACCAAGATGGACAAGCACATCTACAAGAAAATTTTGACTGACAATTTAATGGCGAGTGTCGAAAAATTGGGTCTTAAAGCGATGAATTTCTTGTTTCAACAAGACAATGACCCCAAAAATACCTCGTTTTTGGTCCAAGAATGGCTGTTGTATCAGTGCAAGCAGTTAAAAACGCCGCCGCAGTCACCAGATCTGAACGCCATAGAGCATGTTTGGGATTTGCTAGAAATAAAAATTAGGAAACATAAAATTTCCTCCAAGGAAATCCTTAAAACGGCTCTGATGACGGAATTGGAGAAAATTGATCCAAATGAAACCAATCATTTGGTAAAAAGTATGCCCCGACGTCTAAAAGCTGTTATTGAAGCTAAGGGCGGCCCCACCAAATATTGAAATCAGAAAAAATTGGGGACAATAAGTTTTTTTCGTACAAAATAAAAAGTGTCCGAATAATTGTTGTGCGTAAAAAAGTGGCTTTTTTGATACTTTTAATTTTTTTTTATACGCCAAAGAATTTTTTTTTTGTTTTTAGATTTAAAATTAGTAGTAGTAATATCCATGTTTATAATGAAATAAAAATTTGTTGTCAAACTTAAATACTTTTCAAGTTATTTATAAAGATAGTTGACATAGACGAGTGTCCGAATAAATGTTGTGCTGACTGTATCTGCATTCATTATCTTTTCAAAATAGCGAAATTCTATACAACTGGGTTTAACATACTCAATATGTACAAAATGTCTAAAAAAAAAAAATAAAAATAAATATTTATATAAATTTAAAGAAATTCGAACCATAAAATAACCATGATTCATTATACTTTTTGGAGCCGCAGGTTATCACACAAAATCAGTTTGGAACCAGTACAAAAATGTAGATGTTTTTGCATGGTATAAGTTTTTCTGGCAGTTTTGTTCTTAGTGGAGTGTAATAAATAAATTAATGTTATGCCGAACAAAAGAAAAACTGTTTTAGGTATATTTGTATGCATATGTGTACATATGCATATTTAAACAAATTTTAAAATCTAACTCTTTAAATAAATTTTGAAGAAATGCATAAACTAATTCATTTATTTTATTTTAGACTTCAAATTCAATATATTTATGTAATATACATACATATGTACATACACCTAGACATAACACAAATGCAAATATTGTAATTTTTTTGTTTGAATTTGATAACAACAGAAAGAATTGGTCCACATATTATATACAACTAAAAGTAATGAAAGTAATTCATCAAGTACCATAACGTCACAGCTGATTGGCCGCTTTCGTTTTAATAACAAAAAATATGCTAAAATGTTTTGTTTGTATTTATGTGAGTATTACACACGTTTCACAACCCGGCACTTTTTTAACTACACGCGCTGAATAACATTTAATGTTAACATTGTTTCTAAAAAATTTAAAAAAAAAGTACAGTAATACAAAGATCGAATGACCTAGATATTTTAACACTGCCTGTTGATTATTTTATAAATTATACGTAAATAAGGAGAAAATCGACTTAAAATCCATCAAGCAGGGAGCAATAGTGATGCAAAATATCCTTAAGCCTTTGGATACTATCGACTATGATTTCAGAAACACGACATCGATATATTAATATGGGGTGTTTTCTGTACCGGCACTGACCTAACCATACAGTATATAGATGTGCCAGTTCATAAAACGAACATGTCGCACAGCGAATAAAAATAACTAAATCCCAGGGCCTTCGGCTTTGGCGTTCGGAATAACTGAACAATTTTCAGAAAGGCAAAACGTTACGGTGCTTTCCATAAAGTGTTGATGGACGGCGGCCAGTGTACATAGGCTATAAATAGAAAACAAAATTGGCGGTTAATTTCTCAACACCGGTACTACTAACCATACAGTATATAGATGTGCCACTTCATACAATGAACACTTCGCACAGCGAATACAGAAAACATAATCCCAGGGTTGAGTTTAATTTTGTTTTGAGTCTTCAGCTTATTGACAGTTGGGCGTGGGAACTAGCTGTTATATGTTTGATTCGTACTACAAAATAAAAACTGACACAATTTCACATTTGTATTCTTATTTTAGACATATTATATAAACGCCGTCGGTTCTCCACTTAATACTTTTTAAGGGGAGAGTTTTTGTGAAAATATATTGTATATGTTATAACCTCTGCACACTGAGCACATCTCGGCGGAACGGTGGGCTTTTTTGACAGATGTGAAGCCATGATTTAAACTGGCCCATCCACCATCCTTTTAAAAACAACTGATGAGCATAAAATAACGTTTTTTTTTCTGAATTGTGTGAAATTTCCACAATTTTAAATTAGTTTTTAAATTGGTTATAGTAAAACAATCCATATATGTACAATAAGCTTTATTCTTTGGATTCCCTTAAAAATTGCAGCAGCTCTGTTTGGAAGTTGGTTTGGCCAAAACCAAAAAGGATGACACTTCGTTTCTGGAAGAGATCGCTAGAGACCGACAGAGAGTACGACATGAGGAAGGAGAAGATGGTACAGGACTTAATCAGCACCCAAACGAAATTCCAGAACGGTTTGTTAGAAGTTTTAAAATATAAAAGTGAATAAGTTATTAATTTTCATTACGGTCAACACAATATTTGGCGGTTGCAGATCGTATCTGTTCTGCTGACTGTTTAAAGTCTGCAGCACTGTTGCTGCTATCGGGCTGTTCGCAATGCTAATATGTTGCAAGCTCCCAATTTTCCTTAATCGCGCTGTTGTGCATACATAATATATTGTGTAAAATACAACAGCACAATATTATGGCGCTATTGTCAAGAACTATTAAGAATTTTTCTCCATCATCCATTATAAGAAATTAATAAATCTTTCGCACAAATTGAATGTACTTGTCAGCTGTTTTTGACGGATGGTGGATGGTGCCAGTGTGAATCGGAGTTTAACATCTGTCAAAAAATCGCACCGATCCCCGCGGGATGGGCTCAGTGTGCAGAGCATATTAGGGCCGCATTTGAAAACTATCGGCTAACTATCGCATAGAAACGTGTGGTTTAGGAACATCCCAGATGGATAGTGGAATAACTGGGAAATTTTCGGACCTGCAAAACTTTACGGACTATCCCCGAAATGGAAAATGGATGGTGGATGGTCATCTGTGTCAGTAGCCTATTAGCTGCGAGTGATTTCATGGGCCACTTCAGTTCTAGGAGTTATGGGCTCTGGCCAACAGCTTTCACATTCTGCTGCCTTCGGGTCGAGCCCCTGTCATGAGGTAGCGCATTTGAATGTATGTATGCGTATTAACCCACAGTATTAACCCGTATTATTCTCACAAATGGTAGGTATGATTGAACAATAGTTTTGTACAGTTTTACTTATTTTGTTGTACTATAGTGCCAGTTGTTAAGGAGTTTTTTCCCTCAAAAAAAAAAAAAAAAATAAAAAAAAAACTTGTATCTATATTTGTTTTTTTACCTTTACCTGTGGATACTCTTTACCCCATTTCGACATAAAACAAACGTCAGCATAGTAGCACTAACCATACAGTATGGTTAGTGATAGTAGGCTGTGTGTCACAAGCACCTGCTTGGCTGTGATTTTTATAATAAGAAATCATTATTCAGGTCGACTCAGATTTGGAATATTGAATCAGAACAGAACGTGTAGGCGCTTAAAATATATAAATCAGTGTTTTTTGTTCTATATATAAAATTTATTTAATTTTATAATTAATTTCTATTTTTTTAATTCATCTTTAAAAATGTAGCGACCAAGACGATCTAATCTTTACCGACAAAGCCGTAATTCAAAAATTATACGAAATATCGCTAATGAATGAAACTGTTGACGAATAAAAACAAATTGCCCGTAAAGAGCGCCACGTTAGTGTTTCTCAATCACAAGAGCAAAGCGAGGTAGCATGTTAAACGGCTCAGTTCGCAATGCGAAATCGTCGAGCGAACAACAGAAATCAACAAGTAGATAATTTACGACGCATAAGAGGAGATTTATCGAGAGCTGATATGAATGGAGCAGCGTTTCGATACAATTGCAGTACTGATTTCTGCTTGCATCGGTGCAGCGTTTGGTACATCGTTTCAATGTACTTTGTGAATATTGTGGCGCATTGAAGTTTTACGGAGATAAGGTCGGATTGTGCTGCCTTTGTGCAAAAGTACAAATTTCATTATTGACTCCGCCACCTGAGCCATTGCATTCATTGCTTTGTAGCGAAAAGCCCGAAACGCGTAACGTTGAAACCTCTCAAAGATGCACAACATAATTTTTTACAAATATACTTAATGAGAAACATGGAAGAACAACTTGATCGACAGCTGAGCTAAGCTTTCGCACATGCTGTGCAGCGCATCGCAGAAGAGCTTTCGCAGTAGCAGCAGTTCAAAAGCACAAGTTCGTTCTCTTTTGAATATTCAAATCGGTGCAGCATTTTATTGTCTCCGCCTTCGGTAACAAATATATATTTTTGAAAAGGACCACGTGCAAGAAACGGTCCCACAAACGGGGAAAACAACCTCGAGATATCCGAGCTGTGCATGCTTCTAGCAGTAAAAGTGCGAAATTTATAGCCGTGCGGCGAGAAACTGGCAAATAAACTACCCTGGTTTAAATTGCATATCTGTCACGCCTCCCCACCAAGTGTCTGGAAAACCGTGCGTCAATCATCTCTTCCAGAAGAGAACAGCTCTCTTGTCTTAGTGGTAAAGTCAGAATAAACGGTATGTTCAAGTGCCCTGTAGGAAAAAAATACGTTTTCTCTAACCCTCGTGGTTTTATTTCTGCGTAGGCCCCATGCGCCTTGCAGTTGCTGTGTATAGAGGTCAATAGCCCGATCACTACGGGTGCTCCGCTTACTCAAGTTCTGAAACAGTCTAGAAGAAGCCGCTAGGGATCCGTACTAAAATTTTGTAGAATAGTTTAGTTTGAATTGTATTAATTTTATTTTATTTATTTACTATTTTATTTTTTTAGCTCCTTCTGCTCCTTCTCCTTCTGAACCTTGCTATTTGTATGTAAATTCCATTCACCTACGCGTCACAGTCATGCCTCGATAGCACCGCTACCAGTAAAAGTTCCAAAACTTAATTTATTTTGCATGTTTGAACAAAACAACAAAATAATGATAGTATAAAAAGAAAACCTTCCTAATATTCCCCCCTTTGACCAATCCCCCACCGGTATGGGCCCTCATTAACATTGTTTCCACAGCTTCACAGCGAGTTACTGCACTGATGCTGTAAGTGACCAATTTCCATTTTCTCCTTTTCGCCGGTATTCGCATAATTCTAAAAGGCATGCTTAACGGCGGGCGGCTGCTGCTAAGAGAGCGCAACGCTTGCGTTCAAAACATTCGAAGCTTTTCGTTCTCGTAGTTGCCAATTCCGCTTTAAGCTTGTATTGCTCGCATTCCATGTATTTCGCTAATGCATTGCAGCTTAACTAACAAGTTCACTGACTACCATTAAGAAAAAAATAAAAATATATATAGAAATTTAATTTTGTTTTGGATTTTCATTGCGGATCGCTGGTCTGACGTTTTGACCATTTTTTTCTGATATTTATTTTTCTTTATATTAATTTCATTATTTCTTATATCCTATATCATATTTATATACCCCATCTTTTATATATACATACATATATCTATCAATTTTAACTATATTCTTTAGTGATTAAGCCACATTTTTTTCAATTCAATTAATATTTTTCTCCCATTGATTTGCCTACTGGTCGAAATTAAATACTTGTGTTATTTTCGGTAAGGAAACTTGTGTTTGCTAGTTTTTTGAGTTACAATGAAAATATACTGAAGATTGGTCGATATTAAATTGGAGTAAAATAACTATAATGGGGTATTGGAAGGGGAAACATATAGGGGTTTAAGGGTTAACACAAAAATAAGCGAGCAGTGTTTACGTGGTTGGGTGGGTAAGCTCGGAGTAACAAGACCTGACCATGTGGCACTATCGACTTTGTTTTTTGTATAGCATCTAACGGCCAGGTTAGCACCAAAACCTCTTGTATGTGTTTAACTAGAACAACTAAAATATCCCCGCCATCTGACGAGCCCTAGCCGTAAGATCCCACACGTTACAGCAACTACCACACCAGAACACCAGGACCCGTTACAAAAGCGGCGTCCAACGTGGGGCACGATACAATAACAAGCGTAACAAAACTTTGTGTCTTACTTATTGTCAGCATGTAGAAATTTGTTGCTTTTGTTTCCTTTCAGGAAAATTGCAAAGATTGGTGCTAGTCAAAGTCCGTTCTGTCCGAAACGAAGATGGAGCAGACCTACTGCTTCATGTGCAAGGAACTAAGTGGAAGAAGAGGTTGTAAATTTCTGGATAAATCTTTAAGATTTAGAATGCTAACTGTACGGAACAATTCGTATATTTCTT